CCCCAAAACCCCAAAACCCCAAAACCCCAAAACCCCAAAACCCCATTACTCTAAGATTTTTTTGAACAATCTTCATAAGATAGTATTAATTTTTATTACTATCTTATTAAAAATTAATGAAGAAGAAGAAAGATATAGAGTCACTAATCCGATTGGTTTATAGACTTCAAGGAAGAATAAACATCTTCTTCGAGCAGGACTCTCACTTTCTTAGACTTGTTCCAGGGCATACTTTTGTCACATACTAGGAAGTAGATGATAGAGAAAGTTATCACTGAAATACCGATTATTTCGCATGTTTTAGCCATACCTTTTTCTACATAGAGGTGGTTTCCGATGAGTGGGCCTAAAATCTCTCCAAATGCAAAGAACATGTTGAAAAGACCTGAACTTAGGTCGTTCAGGACCTCAGCTGGGTAATTTAGTTCATTTCTGCCAGCCTCAATGATTTCTGGTAGAGTAGGGATTATTGTGTGAGCAGAAGTTATTCCTCCTAGAAACATGAAAAGGCCAATCAAAAGTAAGGAATTTGGGATTGGCAGAATCTGAGTCGGTCCATACATCAAAGTACATAAGCCATTTAGAATGAAGAAAATAAAGAAACATCTTCTAAAGGATAAGTGCTGCAAGGTGATAAAAACTCAATTGCACGCTCCAGCATACCCAATTCCAAGAATAAAAAAGAGCAAGCTTGCACTCTTAGCTCCATATCCAAAGTCTTCAGCCATTCTATCAGAAAGGAATGGGTCAATGAAGGTGTATTGGAAAATATTCACCAGCAGAGCTAGGTTGGCAAATAAAATTCTTCTATTAAAAAGCATTTTTGAATATGAGTATTTTGAAGTGTCGATTTCTACTTCTTCAAGTTCATCTACTTCTTTCGGAACAATAGGATTGATCATGAAGCAGTAAACACAGAATATGATACCAAACACTAGGAAGGACAAGATGTAGCCTCCTAGCATATATAATGGAATAGCAATGAATGGGCCAAAACACATTCCCACTCCAGCAGCAGCTTCCAAGCAACCACAAACAAATTCAACCTGAGATGGATACATGAGTGAGAGGATAGAATAATTGGCTGTTTGCAAGCACCCGGTACCTACACCTTGTATTAACCTCAAAAGGGTGAAACAAATGATGAATACATATGGTCCATCCATAAAGTGCAATATTACAAAGCCAATGTTGGATAGACCTACCAGGGCTGAACCAAAGATCAGACAGTTCCTTCGCCCATATTTAGCCATTAATTTCCCAGCAATAGGACTAATTATAGCAAAGCTTACTGAGTAGGATCAGAATATGAGTCCCACAACTGATTGGTCAACTTCTTTGAGACTAGCTTCACCCGGCAAAAGTGGTGCTCAGACAGAATAGGATGCTTTAAGCAGAATGTTGAACACACACAAAATCACTATCAACTTTGTGTAACCAACGGGTGCATTCTTGGTGGTAGTGGAAACATTATCTTCTTCCACCTGTTTAGTAGAAAAGTTTAGAGAGTCTTCTTCAATATCAAAGCTCTGCATTTATATATTTAATTTCTAGAAATCTTATAATACTTTGCTATCGTTTCTTTTTATAAGGGGTTTTGGGGTTTTGGGGTTTTGGGGTTTTGGGGTTTTGGGGTTTTGGGG